CGTGCAACGACCACGAGATGTCCGACAGCGAAGAGCCGGCGGTGAAGGAGAAGATCAGCAAAATTCTGGACAACCTGACGAACGATGACTGTGCCGATTCCATAGCCACGGCGACGACAGTCGAAGCCAGCGCTGGATATCAGCAAATGGTTGAGGATGTGCTGGCCACGACTGCCGCCGGCTCAGTATCCACGGACGATGAAACCTTTACGGCCACCGCCGAGGCCGTGGAGGCAGCGGCTAGCTACATAAACGAAATGGCCGAGGCACATGAGCTGCAGCTGAAGCAGCTGCAGGCGGGCGTCGAGCTGGATCTGAAGAAGCCCAAGCTGGATGTACCACAACAGCAGCCGGATACCGTGCCACCCAATGTGGTGCCCACCGCAGCTGCTCCACAGCAACCGCCACCAATGCGTGACCCCAAGAAGATAAGCGGGCCACATCTGCTGTACGAAATACAAAGCGAAGATGGCTTCACCTACAAGTCCAGTTCCATTGCCGAGATCTGGGAGAAGGTGTTTGAGGCTGTGCAGGTGGCGCGGCGCGCTCATGGTCTAACGCCTCTGCCAGAAGGTCCGCTGGCCGATATGAGCGGCGTGCAAATGATTGGCCTCAAGACGAACGCGCTCAAGTATCTGATCGAGCAGCTGCCTGGCGTGGAGAAGTGCGTCAAGTACACGCCCAAATATCATAAACGCAACGGCAATGTGTCCACAGCTGCCGGGGGTGGACACGCGGCCAGCGCAGCTGGCAGCAATGCGGCAGCACTTGGCGCTGGGGCGGATGCGCAGGCGCTCATAGATTACGGCTCGGATCAGGAAGATTTGCAGGAGAATGCATATGAGTGCGCACGCTGCGAGCCATACGTAAGTCGCTCCGAATACGATATGTTCAGCTGGTTGGCGTCCAGGCATCGAAAGCAGCCCATACAGGTGTTTGTGCAGCCCTCCGATAACGAGCTGGTGCCCAGGTAGGTCGCAGACTCCTCTGACCAATCTGCTAGCCATACTAATAATTGACGACACTCTTTTGCAGACGCGGAACTGGCAGCAATCTGCCCATGGCTATGAAGTACCGTACGCTGAAGGAGACCTACAAGGATTACGTGGGCGTTTTCCGCTCGCACATCCATGGACGCGGTCTCTACTGCACCAAGGACATCGAAGCAGGTATGTGATGCGCCCTCTCTCTGCTCTGGCTTAACTGAAATTAATTATTATTAAATTGCAAATCGCACAGGTGAAATGGTTATCGAGTACGCCGGAGAACTGATACGCTCTACGCTGACCGACAAGCGGGAGCGGTATTACGACAGCCGTGGCATTGGCTGCTACATGTTCAAGATCGACGACAACCTGGTAGTGGATGCCACAATGCGTGGCAATGCGGCGCGCTTTATCAATCACTCCTGTGAGGTAAGTTAAAAAGATTGGGATACATCTCTAAATTGCCAGCTAATCTTGCTTTTTTGTTGCTTTGCCTTTTGCAGCCGAATTGCTACTCGAAGGTCGTTGACATACTTGGCCACAAGCACATCATCATCTTTGCTCTGCGGCGCATCGTGCAGGGCGAGGAGCTGACCTACGACTACAAGTTCCCATTCGAGGATGAAAAAATACCCTGCTCGTGCGGATCAAAGCGTTGCCGCAAGTACTTAAACTAGGCGTAACCTTATATAATCCAACCAATTTGGCTGGCGCAGTGCGCCCGTCCTCAACATACTCATCGAAGGAATACAGCAAAAAGGAAACATGTGTAGTTAACGGTTATTTCGATCTAATATTTGGTCAATCGTGATACATTTTCATTTGGATAGCATACATTTTAATTAGACGCTAGATACAACAGTTGTAAATGTAAGAGTTAAAACGTTGATATTACACATATATATCCTAAACATATTCGTATATATTTATACAACTAATATATATTTACATTCATTACAATATTATGCAACGTGCTCATATAGGCTTCCCATATATGGCAGACCCATTGATATATAAAATGTACGATATATAATTATAAACGTGTATCTAAATCATATTTACACTCCCACACACACACACACACACACACACACACACACACACAAATATACACACATACATAAACATGGGAAAACTCGATGATTTCAGTATTCAGCGAAGATGGTTTAACTGTATATGAAATATGTTTAAATTATGCATTAAATATGTATACATATGTATTAGCTACCATATATGAAATTCAGTATATTAAGGCTTGAAAGATTCTATTATTAACATAATTAACCTGGGCATGAGTATGTTGCAAAATCACACGATCAAGATCAAGATATATATAAATATATGTATTGTAACTAATAGCGTTAGCGGTTTGGTCGGTTTATCAACCCGTTTAGGTCCAAATCGCTGGGCAACCAATTAATGATTATTTACAGGGGCTTGTGTTAGATTGTAAATATAAACAAAAAGTGTTAGGTAATTTAAAAGAATATGCATAAGACGTAACAAATCTCTAAGTATATAGAAAAAGAAAAAAAAACTAAAATGCAAAAAAAAAAAACAGATGAAACTATTTTATGTAGAATTATGCACACATGCAAATTGAGTATTTACGTTTGTTGCAATTGAACTAACTAACTATTACAGATACTAATAATCCACTGGCCTAACCTAATACATATATTTAAACATGCCACACACACACACACAGACACACACACACAGGCACACACGCATACAGATGTATGAAAGTATTGGGTAACCAACAAGTAACTAAGCATCACCTTTGAAATTATTTTGTGAACAGACAACACCAATTTAATTGTAAAAACAAAAAGAAAAGCAAAAAACAAAAACAAATACAAATGCATATTTATAATTTTTAATTAAGCACGTATTCGTGCATTTGATTTATGTAATTCATATTAAATTGTAATTGTGCTTTGAGATGTGTCCATGTAAATTGTAAAATTCGTTTGTAATCGCTAAAAACAATATTGTGTTCTAAATTTATGATTAGTTTAAATGTGTACAATTGTTTAATATTTTTTGTAATGCATTATGTCAGCCTCTTATTGCCGGCTTTTAAAAGTAATCCTTATTTATTAAGCAGCTCCCTTGTATTCTATTAGTTATATATATGAATTGATTCAGTTTAGCCTACAGTTAGCTCGTATTGTATTTGTATTTTTGTCAAAATTTGGTCTGAGAAATCGACCATTATCTATAAAACTTACATTGTTCGATTCGGAATCACACGAAAGCTAGAAAGCATACGAATGTACAGGCAAAGTTCCACAGCATTTTTGGCAGCCATTCAGACGCGGGCACTTTTTGCCCGACGTCAAGGAATTTTATATTTTTATTCCCTAAAGAAAAAAGGTTAATAAACTACAGAATAAATTATTTTAATAAATGTGGTTTTCTTTTGATTATAAGCAACCCGACTATGATTATTTTCCGAGCACGGTGAAAGACTCACAAAATGGTGTTCCATTAAAATGTGTTCGCATATAAATTTCACTTTGCAGATATATTTAATTCTTGACATTTTTTGGACATGCGGTTTCTGAATATGTCCAAATATATCGACCAGTTAACACTGGGACTTGCAAGTATCCAATTTGTTTGGTTGCTTTAAAGGTGCGAGCTAGACCTCAAAGTAGTTTATTTTTAAGGTGCACGTGTCCCTTACAAAACTACCTTTGTTGGATTATTCGCAATTTTTCAACCGATTTCGTTCACATCTTAGATGCATCTTGAAAAATATGTTGTTCAGGGAAGTATGTAGCTTTTTACATCAATTGCATAGTTAATTTCTTATAAACTATTTGTTGATCATTATTTTTTTGACGTATTTTGAATGTTTGGCAGTCGTCATTCGATCAAGATTCAATATCGCTCATTTTTGTGTTAATTAAATATGCATAATTATTCGTTATTCATATTATTCGAATTTCATATTCATATCGTATCATTATGAGAGGTATGGTAAGTATGGTAAGTACTTAAAGGAATCTCGAAACCAAGCACAAATTGTCTTTGACTCTTTTACCCTTTTCAATTCAAACGTAGAGATTTCTATTGTTTCTGATTCAATTATCGATTAGTAAAAAAATATATTTATATATATGTAAATGACTGTAGATGAAGAAAACAAAACCATTTGGATACACTATTCTTCACATAGATCAGCCTTGGACGCGCTCAATCCGTTGCTTGGCCTCGTTGGCCGCACACAGTGCCTTGTAGGCTGCCTTCTTGGTCTTGGCAAAGTCGTTGCGGGCCTCGCTCAGTTGGCGCAGCAGGACGCCAACGCGTTTCTGGGCGGCATCCAGAAGGCTGGTCTTATCTATCAGTGACTGCTGGCAGGCCGCGGAGACCTGCTCGGCGCTGTCATGGTTCTCTCTGGACAGCTTTAGGGCAGCGATGAGCAGCTTCATCTCCTCCTGGGCCTGTCGATGTGCTTTGAGTGCCAGCTGGCTGTTGGCCTCCGCTGAGCTCAGCTCTTGTGTCTCCTCTTGCACAATGATCTCTGCCTCACGCACCTCCATCTCCAGCTGCTCGAGCACCTGCTGCTTCCCTGCCAGCACTGCCTCTGCCGCCTTGGCAGCTGCCGCCGCCTTGTCCGCATACTCGTGCTTAATCCGATCGGATGCCACCTTCACCGCATTCGCCATATCATCGTTGGCTTGCTTTGCCTCCAAGGCGGCTTTTATTGCGATGCCAGTGCCGTTGGATTTCGTGTTAATCCTTTTGCTCTTGGGCCGCGGCGTGTCACAACTGGACTCGCTCTTCTCCCCATCTTCCTGATAATGTTCTCTGTCGTCGACGACTTTGCTGTCATGGGACAGCAGGCGCTTGGAGCGCGTGTGTCGAGCCGCTTTTCGCAAATCCCTGCGGGATGAGTAGTCCCGGGCGAATGCTATTTGTGTAACAGACGATATTATGATGAACCACATGATTTGAAAGTATAGTTTCATTTTCCGTATTCACAAAAAGTTTTAACTTTCAGACTTAAAACACAAAAAAGCGCTTGACAGTTGCGGATTATAACAATGAATTCGGAAAGGTCAGCACAATGCTCTATATTTCCATATTTCTGCTCCTCAATATTGGCTGCATATCCCAGAGCTATATCATCCGGCCACGCGAGAAGGTCAGTAGAGCGCCTTGTTTTCATCATGTTCGAATAAAACGCCAACTGTCAGGTTTACAGCAAACGCAACCTCGATATCTATCCAGATCTGGCGCGGATGGATGAGGAAGGTGGCAAAAAAGAAGGCGGCGGCGAGGGACAAGGCTGCGAGGAAAGCAGAAGCCACACTTGCAACAATCCGTTAAGCAAGACCGATCCCAAAGCTAAAGCCTCAAACATTGCACAGAAAGCAGCGCAGGAGGCGAAGGCGGCGAATGACGCACAAATGGCAGCCGCGGACGCTGCTGCCTCGCAGGTGAAAGTGGAGCTCGCCGAGAAGGCGCTTCAGTCGGCACGTGCGGCCGAGGCAGCTCTGGCTGGCAAGCAGCAGATCGTTGAGCAACTGGAGATGGAGCACCACGAGGCGGAGGCTGTTGTCCAGGAGGTGAACAACTCGCTGCACAATACGCAGACGAATGCGGCTGCCGCCAACGATGCCGCCGCCGAGGCACGCAACCAACTGGCCGCCCTCATGCGACTGGTGCAGGCGGCCACCACGAATCTGGCCAACATTGAGAACGTCTCGATGGGTGCGCAACAGGAGCTGGCCGAAAAGACGCAACTGCTGGAAGCGGCCAGGAATCGCGTCGGAAATCTGGCCAACCAGCTGCAGGTGGCCAGACAGGACTTCGAAAAGACCAAGAAGGCTGCCTACAAAGCAGCCTGTGCCGCCGTCGAAGCCAAGCAGAAGGCGCAAAGGAGTCGACGCCTGAGTCCCTACTGAACGGCCGACAGGCCAAGTCTGTGGCAACAACTTTATTGGATTGTTTTGTTTATACTGATGTTAATTATGCATTTATTACATTCAACATGAATATATATTTTTATATTTTTTATGTAGATTATGACAGTCAGAGTATTTCCTACGAACTAGTCTAGATGGGCTACCGAATCGAGAGCTCAAGAGCTGCCCAAAAGACACTTGGCCCAATCTTAACGCGAGGAATAGCGAGACGGAGTTGTCAACAGGTGATTCATAAATTTATTTTAGAGTCTCAACAGGTGAAGATCTGGATACAGACTACAAATATCGTTTCCACTCAATAGGTTCCATGTGATTTGAAAGTATATTCTAAAAAAGTTTTAACTTTCAGACGGCTTGACATTTACATATGAAAACAATGTATTCAGAACGGCCGGCACAATGCTCTATATATCCATATTTCTGCTTCTTAACTGCGGCTGTATATCCCACAGCTATATCATGAGGCCGCGCGAGAAGGTCAGTAGAACTCTCCCTTATGCTAGCTAGGCTTGTAACTAACGTAGGCTGCCAGGCTTACAGCAAACGTCACCTCGTTGTTTATCCAGAAATGGTGCGGCTGGAAGAGGAATCTGGCCGAAGAGAAGGCGGCGGTGGCATGGAGGGCTGTGAGCCCAAGCAGGGCTGTGGCTCCGGTGGCGGCGGGTCGTCGCTCGGTGGCAGCGATCCCAAGACCAAAGCCTCGAACATTGCACAGAAGGCGGCGCAGGAGGCGAAGGCGGCGAATGATGCACAGATGGCAGCCGCGGAAGCGGCTGCATCCCAAGTCAAAATTCAGCTGGCGGAGAAGGCGCTCCAATCGGCGCGTGCGGCCGAGGCAGCTCTGGCGGGCAAGCAGCAAATCATGGAACAATTGGATGGGGAGCACCGCGAGGCGGAGGCTGTCGTTCAGGATGTAAGTAACTCCTTACAGAATACACAGGCGAACGCAGTAGCGGCCAATGATGCGGCCAACGAGGCGAAGACCCAGCTCGGCAAGCTCAAGCAACTGGTGCAGGCATCCATCTCGAATCTGGCCAACATCGAGAACGTCTCGAATGGCGCCCAGCAGGAGCTGGCCGAGAAGACGCAGCTCCTGGAAGCTGCCAAGAATCGGGTGGAGAGCTTGGCCCGCCAGCTAGCCTTGGCCAAGCAGGACTTCGAGAAGACCAAAAAGGCCGCCTACAAAGCAGCCTGTTCGGCGGTCGAGGCCAAGCAGAAGGCGCAAAGGAGTCGACGGCGAACCGGTGAACCCGCACAGGGTTCTCTTTGATTATATACTACAATAAAGATGCACGCTCATATGTTTATTTTCTGCAGGTAAAAACGCCTTACTAACTATTACTCTAAGCTAGCTTGGGTGCCAGAACAGGGGCTGCTCCTATTGAGTCGTCACGTCGAAAGATTGGCTTGGATCGCTAGCGGGATCCACGCTAAGGTCAGCGGGAGGGGTTAACCAGGATAGAACTGGTTTAACTAGATATTATAGTCGTAATATGATTCCCAACAAAGATTTTCAACACGATCTGGTGAAGTGACCGGTTGGGTTAAAAGTGCACATGGATTTTTTCCTGGATATGGATTATGTGTACTATAATCCAATAAGAAGAGCCAATCGCAATGGCTTGCATGGAATAATAAGATCAGTGTATTTCTCCAGAGTAAGCTCCGATGCTGATCAGGAATATATTAGCCGATGTGTGACCTTTTTGCTGCCCTATTCCTTTAGACAAGGTATATGAAAACATAGTCAATGTTGCGTTGAGTGTCCAAATGAGTTTGAACGGAGTCAAAGCTGAATTGCTTGGAATATGCTTCCTCGGAAAGTGTTGCTCCTGTCGCTCATATTGCTGCAGGCGATCAGATTGTTGGATAGCTTTAGCTATGTCGAATCCGACGAGAGGGGCGTTGGGGGAGCAGACAAATCCAGCTTGGACGCAGATTCAAATTCGGTATGCCCACAAGAGGGCTGCTCTCCATCGCAAGCAAGCAGTTTGTTGTCGAGAAGCGACCCCAAGACCAAGGCATCGAACATTGCACAGAAGGCGGCGCAGGAGGCGAGGGCTGCCAGTGATGCACAAATGGCCGCCGCAGAGGCAGCTGCCACGCAGGTCAAGCAGGAGCTGGCCGAGAGGGCGGCTCAATCCGCTCGTGCCGCAGAGGCAGCGCTCGCGGGCAAACAGCAAATTGTGGAGCAACTGCATCAGGAAGTGTCCGAAGCAGATGCCGTCGTCGCAGACATTACCGCATCCCTTCAGAGCACACAGGCCAATGCCAATTCAGCTGCCCAAGCGGCAGCGGAATCGCAGGCGCAGCTCATCCAGATGAAGCGTCTGGTGGCCGCTTTCACGGCGAATCTGGTCAACATTGAGAACGTGGCAAATGGTGCACAGCAGGAGCTGGCCGAAAAGACCCAGCTCCTGGAAGCGGCCAAGAATCGGGTGGAGAGTCTATATCGACAGCTTACGGAAGCCAAGCAGGACTTTGAGAAGACCAAGAAAGCCGCCTACAAGGCCGCCTGTGCAGCAGTCGAGGCCAAGCAAAAGGCCTCCAGAACGCGTCGAATGATCGATCATTGGCACAAGGCCAAGAAATCTTCGAAATACGCTTGTGCAGCCAAAAAGTAGATCTGCTATTGAATTGATTTTTTTTTTTTGTTATATTTTTGTTATGTTATTTATTTGTCCAAGCATGTTTGCGTTTTTGCTTATTGATCACACTTTTTTCTGATTTATAATTGTATTTTCATAAAAAATAACCTTGCCTTAACCTTTTATGAAATTATGAAGGCCAGGGGTTAGGAATAGTGAAATCGTGAGCTTTGAATTTCCGTTAATATTTGACATTTTGCCTAACATTTCCCCACTTGGGCTTGTGCACAATTATTCAAATAGGGAAATATTAACAGCGAGCATTGCAGTAACTGTACGCTAACATTTCCCTACCCCATCGTGTGTGTGAAAACAAAAACGCGTTGCTGGGCTGTTGTAACAAAAGACATAAGAAAATAAAGTTATTCGAATGTTTGTTGCACACTAACGTAAATAAGAAACATATATAACGATTACGCTTACGTTATTTTGGGCTCTTGTGTGGCAGTGCTGCCCATAAGTTGGGCACATAACAGCTGATTAAGCCAGCGATGGGCAGCACTCTGGTAACAGCTGTGAGTTACAAAAGCAGCCGGCAAATTGTTATTTTTATTTACATTTAAAGTGCGCGCAATTATATAAAAAAAGTTCCTTTAAAATGTTAGTTAGTAAAGTAAAGTACATACAAGCGCTTGGCGTACGCTGCAGCAGCTCGCACTATGTGACAACACCAATATTCTACGTTAATGCAGGTGAGCAGGAAACTCGTGTGTATTAAATAACAGTCCGATTGGAACTGATGCGAATTCTTTTGCTCAGCTCCACACATTGGGCATCTCTACTCGGCGGTTATAGCCGATGCGCATTGCCGATACCAGCGACTGCGGCACCCGGAACGCAAGGTGCGTCTCTGCACGGGCACGGATGAGCACGGCACAAAGATTCAACAGGCGGCAGCTGCGCACAAGGTGCCCGTGGGCCAGTACTGCGATGAGGTGTCGGCGCGTTATCGTGACGTGTTTAGGGCAGCGGGTATAGAACACGATGATTTCATACGCACCACCGAGCAGCGACACAAACAGGCTGTGGCACACTTCTGGGTTAGTTGAAAGGGCTGCCCATTGCTTGCACTAGGTCCAATGATCAGCTTATAATCTCCACAGCACAGATTGCAGTCGAGGGGTCATATCTATTCGGCGGCCTACAGCGGTTGGTACTGCGTATCGGATGAAACCTTTCTGACTGAGTCGCAGCTGCGCCTTGACGCGACCAGTGGCACACGCTACTCATTGGAATCGGGTCATCCGGTGGAGTGGACTGAGGAAACGAATTACATGTTTCGCTTGAGCCAATTCCAAGACGATGTGCGTCATTGGGTTCAGCAGGAAGCGTGCATACGTCCAGCCAAGTTCCAAAAGATTCTGCTCGATACGCTCAGTGAGCCGCTGCCCGACGTGTCCGTTTCCCGGCCCGCGAATCGTGTCCACTGGGCCATACCCGTACCAAATGATGACACCCAAACCGTGTACGTCTGGCTAGATGCTCTGATTAACTATCTCAGCTCCCTTGGCTATCCCAACGAACAGGTATGCAAACACCAGTTTGCAGTCACTCTCAATGTTAATCCCTTCCTTTTGATCCATTTGTGCCTTTTGTAGTATCTAGCCGATTGGCCGCCCGCACAGCAAATCATTGGCAAGGACATACTTAAATTCCACGGCATTTATTGGCCCGCCTTTTTGCTGGCCGCCGGTCTGGCGCCGCCGCAGCAGCTACATGTGCACTCGCACTGGACAGTGGATGGTCAGAAGATGTCCAAAAGCAAGCACAATGTTGTTGATCCCGTGCAGGCAGCCCAACAGTATACCATGGAGGGTCTGCGTTACTTTCTGCTGCGCGAGGGCGTGGCACACAGCGATGGCAGTAAGTAATCCCACCTAAAAGAACTGAGAACCTTTTGTTCTTTGCGGCTGCTGAGCTCGCAATATGTCAGACAGAATGACAAAAAGCAGCCTGCGGTTACTACAAGAGCTTACTTCATTGTATCAGCAAGCGCAGCTGTTGATGGAGCAGTCAACCCTGCTGGCCAGCTCCCGCTAGACTGGGGTGGGCTGGGCTGGGCTGAGCACCAGCAAAACACAACATCTATATGCATACATATATAGCTCTGTGTATGCAAATATGGACCTCCTTCGTCATTTTGCTGATTTCGTTAGTTTTGCTCGTACCTTAGTTGAATTTGCATTTCAATTTGATGCCAAAGCAGCAGGGAAAAACTTTTTGGTCTGGTGCAGGGGCTGTCGCTGCTGCTGCTGCTGCTGCTGCTGATGTTGTTGCTGCCAAACCGACATTTGTTTATTTGCTTGCAAAGTTTTTGTATCTTGAACTTGGCTTAAGATTTGCGCATTTGCATAAGAGCACCCCTGGCTGAAGCCCGAGGCTGGGGCCCCACTCGTCTGTCTGTCCAAAGTTTCAAAGCTTATGCAAGTTTCAGCCAGATATGATTAGTTTGTCGTTTGTCTTCCTCCACTCCCAGTTGCTCTTTAATTGTTAGTTCTCTGTCAGCCGTAAAAGTCATTTGAAAGCAGCCATCACACGGCATAATGAACTCTAATGCCGAAATGAGCTGATGCTGATCTTTAATCTATTATCAGCTTGTGGGCAGCTTTGTGAAAGCATGGCCATTGACAAGAAACTAATTCCAATTGTTTTGTTTGCAACCAGGCTGGCTGATGGACACCCTGCATTGGCCGTCAGACGCACTCACATAATTTTGCCAAAAGCAATTAACACGCCTCGACGCGCGCCCAGAAGTCATTAAAATCAATTTTAGGCCTAGTTTTTGTTATAATTGTTGTTGCTGCTGTTGCTTGTCACGCCCACATTTGATGCGATTTGATTGATTCCATAACCTTTTCGACATTCAATTTGCATAAATGGACGCCGCCGATTCGCAATCTTAATGGCCAACGAGCTTCTGTTTGGCAGGAATTTAAATTTTATTTTCAATTATTACCGACTTTGCCGGTTTTCAGGTTTCAGGCCCGGGCCACGCCCTCACCTTTATTCAATTTGCCTCAACAGTTTTTGGTTGATGAGTTTCAGGTCTTTGGGGCAGCTGCTCAGGGTTGATTTTCTTTATTTTTTTTTTGTTGTTTCGCCTGTTGCCTTGCGGCTAATTTAATTGCATTTTTTATTGCATTTTGCGCGTGTTTCGTTAATATTGTGCATATTAAGAGAAAGCGGCGGGAAATTTGCAAAAAAAAAAAATTCGGCAACTGCGCAATATTCAATTATGCAATTTTGAGCTGTGCTTTTTTTTTTTTTTTTGTGGAAAGTAATTGAATATTGACTATATGATTTCAGGGAACTGCTGAAGCTTTGCGCCAAACCCACACATAATCGCTTTCTGTGACATTCAGCTCGCGGCCAATGAGGCAAACATTTCCATCACATCGCAATAAGTTTTGCATGGCGAACGCTTATTCCCGACGGCGCTGCTGATGGACGACATCCGGTTCCATCAGCTAACAGCATTTGAGCGCGTTTTTATGACGACTGACGACAACCGTCAACAGGGCCGCAATCAGCGGCATTAGGGGCAACATCATTAAGTGCACAACTTTTCATTGCCATTGCCAACAATTTAATATTGAAATTCTGTCACGACAGTCGCTGCACTCGCCGCCGGCTCACTTCCGTCCGCCACTGTCAAAGCTGTCCGGCTGCTGCTGTTGCTGCTGCTGTGACAGCGTAACTGCATTTGGCCAAAGTGTCCGGGCGACTGCTGACGAAGTGCTACAAAACCCCGCCAAGCTTTATAGAATTGCAGAAAGAATACGCGCAAATAAATGGAGCTCAGCTGAGCTAAACTGATGCGATTCCCCAAAGGCGTTAGTCAGCAGTTAAGCATCAAGCACTTTCATAAGGATTCGCCGTTTCAAGGACCTGCCAAGCTTAAATTGTGGTGTGGGAACAGCTTATAAATTAATGTCATTCATATGTGCACATTGTCAGCTGCTGTCCCAACTTCCAGCTATAATTTTAATGTTTCTGTTTAAGTTGCCGCATTAGCGCTAAGGGCATGCCATTAAATGTTTTCAATTTCTTTGCCTATCGCTAATCGGCGCCATATTTTACCCTGAAGCCATAGCATGGGGATTTATTATAAGTTAGCAATATCTTCAGTCCAATCGCGACACTTTTACGGAAAAGAGGTTAAAGCGCCTCTATGGGGAGCTTAGCATAAGTGACGCCTGCGGGATATTTTAAACTGAGCACTATCTTTTAAACTATATATTATTACGCTTGCAATTAGGATGATATGTATTGTAGGGCACTTCAGACGAAGACTCTTGTTATAAAAACAAACATTTAAAGTTAAATATCTTCAAACATCCTCTCGCCCTGCCATGCCAAACGCGCCTGAGCTTTAAGCCAGCTTCTGTCTGACTCGCCCGGAGCGTCTTTGCATGTAAAACTGTTAAAATATTTGACGGCGACACTTGTCAGGCTGACGCTGCCTTGCCCCGCGGCAAACTTGCCACAGAGTTTCAGCAGAGTGTTGCTGCAACACTTTGAGTGTAATGTAATTTGCAAGAGGCACATACAGACAACACATTGCGGCATTTCGGGGCAAGGTTAGTTGGCGGCAGATGCCACAGCTGCAGCGAGCAGTAGCAGGAAAAGACAAGCGTCATTAAGGCAAAAGTCGGAAAATTAACGAATGTGCCACATAAGGAATTAATATTTTTGGTTATGGCAATAAAAAATGGACAAGCATTTGTCTTAGCACCTGCCGCTGTCTTGTGCGGCAGTCACGTGCACTTGTGCAACATGTGCAGAACATTGTTGAAATTACGAAAGTTGTGGCATGTGCTGTTGCACCTGCCACTGTATGCGTCCCAAAGGACCTAAGTGCACCGCCTGTCGGAGCCAGCAACAGAGAGCTGCGATTTGTAGTTGCACACGTAAGCAGTTAAAAGCAACATGGCCCGGCCGGCCGAGTTGGCCGTATTGCGATTACGATTTTGATTGCGATTGCCATGACTGATGCGACACGTGCTAGGGGTCTTCTGCCTTTCGCGATTTACGCATTAAAAGCTAACGCCAGTTGACATAATTCCCAGCCAAATGGGTCGACTGAGGCTTAAGTCTATTTCGCATTGACATCTGAAATTGATTTACACCGAATGCAATTTACAACCCGAAAACTCATTGCTCTTGCATTGAAAATCAAATGCTGCTGCTCCTCTGAAAATTCAATTCAACACTCGTTTGAGTAAATTGCATAAATTTCTAATAATCAGCGTGGCGAAGGGCATGCCTGACTATAATAAAACACATGCAGCAGCAGCGCAGCTTAGAGAAGAGACTTTGAATATTCTCATGAGAGCGAAAGTTATAAATAGAGCGAAGAGTGTGTGTAGCCAGTCAAACGATGCAGAATCCAACACAAAAAAGAATTGAATATCCAGATATATCTGAGAGCTTTAAGGAGAGAGAGTGAAAGAGAGAGAGAGGGAGAGAGAGAGAGAGACAGAGGGAATCTGAGCATACATTCAAAGTATATTTGTTTATGTTCAAGTATCTATAAATGAACACTTAGTTTTTTGGTAAAACTATGAAAAATAAAACACTATGAAAGTAAAACAATTCAATAAAAGACTGAGAGAGAGGGAGGGAGAGAGAAAAGAGAATTCCTTCCTATGCAAGCCGAGGAAAGTAGAAGGAGAGAGAGAAAGGGATTGTGTGAGAGAGTGAGAGAGAGATACATTTATGTTGTCTGTAAATTGTTTGAGAATTCAAGAAGATACCTAGATGTATTTCACGTCAGACTGATAACTTGTAGATATATAAGTTGTTCTTAAAGAAAGTAACCATATTCCCCTATTTCATACAGGGTATCCTCCGGCTGTTTAGCATTGTGCTCCAACATATTCATTTGTTCCGCAACAAGAGCCTCGTTGTATACGTATTTATATGTGTGTGTATAAATGTGCATGCACACTCACGATACTTTTGGCATTCAAATTCAGTAGGTTGGCAACTTGACTTCGCAAAAAGTTGTGCACCAGCAGCGACAATACAATTGCATTAATGATGTGGAGCGCACAGAAGCAGGCCACACATTTGGCAGCTGCAGTTGCGTGGCCAAAACTCACACACACACTCACACACACACACACACACACACCCGCACAGCCATGCAGGTGTAATGCGCATGCATATGCATTCGAGCACACGACAGCTGCTCACCTTCCGGTGCTGTGCTCAAGTTCTTGGCAGGGAAACGCAAATCTCTGAACTGCGAAACCACATCAAATTTTATGCATATTTGAATAACAAGTGCAATTGTTGTTGTTGTTGGCGGCAGCTTTCAGTGCGGTGCACTGCACGCATTCTTCTAGTTGAATCGACACGATGATTTGCACTGGTCGAAACTAATTAGCCTAGGAATTTAATTTAAATCAAAAGCAACCGCCAATCAAAAAGCACACATTTCTGAAATTGATTGCGTGCAACAGCTGCGGCCAATGCGCCAAATTCTTAATTACCAATAACAGCTGTTGCCAAGTGGAGTCAGCAGCCCATTTGTTGCGCCAGAAATGGTCAAAATATTCTATCTAGCCAGCATTGATTAGTGGTCATTATTGGGTTTGCGACTCGTTTGCTTCATGGAAATCAAATTTCATAGTGTGTACAGTGAAAACTCTCTTGGGTGGCCAGCAATCGTTGGGCAATGTTTGAAATGTGTTTGGCTAATAGAGGGTAATACGACATGTTTCATAATAGTTTGAGAGGAGAGAAGAGTCCGTCCAAGAGGGCTGTTAGGCGAGTTTTCACTGTGTTTTCAATTAGCGTTGCATGCTAAATTCAGATTTGTCAGTTGATCCAAATCGAAATAGTTGCCACTTGCTCTAGCTGCAGCTCTTGCCAGCTCTTGCCCCAAACGCAGGTGAATCAATACTGGACTGCACAGGTTGCATAAGCGGTTTTGAACGCATTTGTTCAGATAATGATGTCCGTAATTATGTCCAGCGCAATGATCCGTAACTATTATTCTCGCTCTTGCTGGGCACATTGTGCATTTGTTAAAGGTAAACATTGCACCCACATTGCTAATGGCTGTCCATTTATTTATTTATTTATTTGGCATTGCCTTTAGTCTTTCTGCCATCCGGAAAAGCGTATCAACTGTGTCCAGTAGTTAGTGATCGAAGAGCGGATACCCTATGATTATCTTATACCATAAATGGTGGCATTTATTGAACACATAATTGAATCTCTTCGTTGCGGGATAGTGGGTAAAACGGATATATAAAAGCTGCGCAATTATATATATTGAAATAAAAGCATGAAAAGCCTATCTAACAAAGAATCTGCCTTGTCTTGATCTTTCAGACATGATTCTATTTATAAATCGGATAATGTCCGACACTTATATTACACACCCAAAATACTTATAAATACAAGCTACAGCTATGCATATACCCACTTACATTTAAGGTCTAGGGCATGTCGTGCGCGCTGTACGAATGGTTTACACGGCTTAAATACATTGCTCCACTAAGCGACTTAAAATATTTGTAGCAGATTCTTTTTTTAAATGCGATTTTCAAACGAAACTGTGGCAACAACATTTATATGTTCATAGTTGTAAACTCGCTGCTGTACAGAAACATGTATGCAGTCTGTGGCGACCCTTTCGATTATAGTCATTCGGATTTGTTCTTGCATTCGTATTTGTTTCCCTTGTCGTATTTACTTAGCGTAAGTTTATCTGGCGAACAACCTTTGAATTTAGCAGACAGCGTATATTATGCCCTGAACCCTGAACCCTGAACATTGAAAATGAGTAAAGGGGGTTTCGTGCAAATGTAGAAGAAATAAATATAAATATATATATATATATTTTCCTGCTCATCATAAATAGCCTTGTCGATAGAAAATTTATCCCTAATGGAAAGAAATCGATAAGAGTCGATATTAAGCACCGCTGGGAGCCTATAGAGCTAAAGACTTCGGATTTGGTATAAAAGAAAGAATTCACTTGTCGGATGCGGCATGCGTTCCTGGCTTAGGGTATCCCTAAGTCGGGCACTCCCGACTGGAGCACGCTAACTTGTTTGTTTTGACATTTGTGTTGTTCTAATCCCCTTAATGGACAATCAGTATGGCAGGAGCCCATGTGGCTGGCAGTTAGAAACAAAATGTTTGCCATTGCAGCTTAGTTAGCTGACGATAAAGTGACATCACTCATACGCCATGTTTCACCCCCAAAGCCGTGATGTGCTCTAATGAGCAGCAAAGAGCTGCGAGACACAAACGTTTAGAAGTCTTTTTACCGCTAGTTGTAGTATTTTTTTTCAATCTGGTTAACATTTTTGATCCGTTGCAGATTATAGTCATGTGAAGGCGCTGCGCATATTAAACTCGGAGCTGGCGGACACTTTGGGAAATTTGTTGTCGCGTGCGTGTGCCAAGTCGCTGAATCCACAACAGATTTATCCGGAGCCGCATGTCGAGCACTTGCCACATCTGCTGCACGACGTGGATGCTGCCAAGCGGTTGCAGGAGGCGCTGCTGCAGCTGGAGGGTAAGCCAGCTAGCTTGTCATTTTAATATTTAAGCAGCAGCTCCGAAGTGGCTAAGTGGAGTTTGTAGCCTTCATGTCGCTAGCAAGCACACTTCCGGGCAATAACTATGCGACAAGTGCACTTGCTAGTGCGGCCAGCCAGAGAACTGTAAAGTAATGCCCTCTATTTCCATTTGCATTCACAGGGCGCTGTGAGCAGCACTACGAAGGCAATCACTTCCACTTGGTGGCGGACACGGCCATTGCAGCGCTGCATGCGGCCAACAATTTCTTTGAGTGCGCCAAGCCCTGGGAGCTGAAGGCTGGCGGCAGCTCACCCAATCCACCACGCCTTCAGACAATAATCGCGATGACAATGGACGCGTTGCGGCTTTGTGGCATTGTGTTGCAGCCAATGATGCCGCAGCTGACCAGCCGCCTGCTCGATAAGCTAAACGTGCCCACTTCGCAGCGCAGCTGGCGTCATTTGCAGGAGAGCTTCGCCACGACCACGACCAGCACTGACGGCGTGCACAAGAATCGCCAGCTGGATGAGCAGAGCAGTGCACACTTATTCCAGCGCATTTTGGAACATCAGAATAAACCAGCCGAGCAGCAGCAGCAGCAACAGTCTCTGTCGCACGTCAAGCGCACCCAATCAAAAAAGGAGCGCAAGACAACAACGAGAATGTCTTGACTGTCCGGGCTGGCACGTAGCTAACGTAATAAACTGTAGCCAAACTCGAGTAGTTACTCAACTCTTAACTCTCCACTGAATATTTTCATTTGGCTGCGCATTGTGACATTTATGAATTGGGTTCTGTGGCACGCTGCGTATGCTTAATCTAAATAGCCCACCCAAGTGGCCACAAATCAAAATCCAAGCAGCACGCAACTGGGCCCATTCTATTCAGTGGCACTAACCAGGGGTTCCACTTGGCCCGACGCTCATTAAAATCCACTTAATTATGCGCCAAGAGCGGAATTGCCTAGACCGATACAAGGATCTGTTTCGCAGCTCGCATTCCGGTCGAATATCAGCGGCCATATTTTGTTATTTATTACATATAATTGAGATTCGTTCAGGTGCTCGAGCGTTATTTATGTTCCGTTTGCCAAGTGATAAAACAGCTGCGCTGCTTTTAGAGTGTTTAATAATGTGATCTAGAGGGAAAACTGTTTAATTAGTCCCCAGTCAGGCGACTGACGGCCATAGTGGCATGTTAATTTGTTTTAATTTGCCAAAGCCGTCAAGGAAACAAAGGAAAACTAATGAAAAGTGTGCGCCAAATGAGAATAAATGACATTGAAGGCAGTCCAAGCGACTTGAAATGCATTTAACGTCTTATTAAATATTGCAAGTAAGTGGCCTTTTAGTTGACCTGCAGCAACAACAACAGAATCAACAACAACAACAGCAGCAATAACAAGCTGCCAGTGCTGATTAGCTCAAGCCAAGCGTACAGCAGCAATCGAACGTTACGTATACGCCACATGTACGCCAAAACGTCTGCTGTAGCCAGTTGCTGGCAAACAATAATGCGAGTGGATGCCGCCGACCAGTGTCCCGTGTGACCAAGCCCTTTGCTGGCCATAAGCTCCGTCTGCCAATTAGTAAAGTCTGGCGCTCCGCACAGGTAGCCAGGTGATTTCGTGTGTGTGCGCGTAGATCCTGCGCCTGATAGCCCACCTGCATGGTTTGGCCACGATTTTAGGGCTTTCGCAATTTTCCCATTTGTTTGCAACCAGGCGCATATTTGTGTAAACACATTTTAAGTGAGTCTAATTAGCGAAATATACAGATACCAGATTGTGCTCCCACAGGCACTCCCACGTTAAAGTTTTGATGTTTGCGCTCGTTTTCGATGTTCTCTAAACAACAGACTTTGTTGCACGGCATTTGCAGTTGGCTAAAATGCTGTTGCTCATTTGGGCAGACAATTGCAATCAATTTTATAAACGATATAAATGAAGCCTTTTTAAGACCTTTGTGAAATTAAAGTGCGCTCTTCGGGTGTATTTTTGATATGCCGAATATTAAATACTCTCAAGGACATACAATTTTTCGAATATGTGAGGAAAATTGTGAAGCACGTGGTCGCTTAGTTGGGCTACTTAGCTTAGTTAACTACTTAAAGAAACATCTTCTCATATAGCTATATGATATAGTAGTCTGTTTGTTTGTTTGGTTAAGATATTTTGAAAAGTAAACAAGTAAGAGGTTCTAGTCGGGAGCTCCCGACTTGGGGATACCCTGAACCCTCTTCTTCCAACATCACATATATATATATATATTCTATTTTAAAGGCTATATGTCAAGTTTGGCGACTCTAGCTCTTATTATTTACCAAAATTGCCCAAAAAACAGGATATCGATATAGATTTTTATCGATTGCTTGGAAACGGAGCAAGTTATCGAGTATCGGAAACAAACTCGATCTGCGCGGGAACTAGTAGCACCTACATCTAAAATTGCAAGTCTCTAGCTCTTATAGGTTCTGAGATCCTTGCGTTCATACATACGGACGCACGGACGGACAGACAGACGGACATGGCTAGATCGACTCGGCTATTGATGCTGATCAAGAATATATATACTTTATGGGGTCGGAGTTGCTTCATTCTGCCTGTTACATACATTTGGATTTTGCACAAATACAATATACCCTTATACCCATTTTAAATGGGTTCAGGGTATAAAAAGTTGTTTGGATCGTTTCTTAGAATAGACCAACGCACAAATTTATAACAATACATTTTAGGCTAAGGGACTAGCTAGCTACATAAGAGCAGACAGGATCTGGCCATATCGACTTGGCTGTTAATACTGATCAAGGATATATATGCGGCAAAGAATCCCTTTAATTTTTACCCATATTCAATGGGTTCAACGTTATTTGCTTGCTTCTTCCACAGCTGTCGTCTTCAGCTATGCCAAGCTGCTGTGCATGGACAATGTTTGGAATCTTGGGCAGGACATCACCTTCGTCCATCCACGACTCATCTCTTTCCTGTCTATTTCCTTCAGTTCAGAGGTAAATAAATATGTACCTTATAAACTGGGCTAAAAGTATTTTGTTCTTCAAGCTGAGGGTGAATATGAAGAAATTCCGATATGAGACATTGCCGTGTGATATTAAAATTTGTTTTGCCAACGGAAATATTCCAGTTATTTCTAAAGTCCACCTCGTTGTGTGAAAGCGTCAGGCCGTTAATAAAGTGCAAGACGCTTGTGGCAACGAAGAGCTGCGGGAAATTGTGTGGCAGGGAGAAGCAACTAGCTTAAAGTGGTTACCAAAGCTGCGAGGGCAACAACAACATGCTCGACTTGTTACCTTTGCATACAAAATTTAATTATGCAAACAGCCAGCCGCGTGGCAGCTGAGCAAGCGGATGGAAAATCAGCAGTCGGCCAGAAATAGCCGCAGGACGCCAAACGCTGCACGAGATAATACGGTCAATGATTGAGTTTTAATGCTGCTTAAGCTTGAGTAAAAACGTTTAAGATGCGTTGTTGTTGGCGCACTTTGATTAATTGCATATACGTATCGCCTTTGAATGAAATGCATAATTTAATTGCATGCTGGTCTTACGCGGCGTATGCGCAATATTATAAATGAATTAGTTTGGCCAGGCCAACAGCGCTTCGGGCTGCTGTGTTACATCAATCGCAGCCAGACATGACCTGCAGTGAGACATCAAAGCACAAATTGATTTCCTTTGCTCAGCAAGGACGCAGCCAACTGGCATCGGCATCCTTGAGCTTTTGTGCGCTGCATCCGCTTGCAAATGCCAAAAATTTCACCTGCTTCACTCGAACAATGTGCACACAACAAACTCATAGAGTAGCTGTTGAACGGGCTGCTGATCCGGAATCAGGAGCTACTGCCGGCGGAACGTCAGAAGGCGGCACTTAAATTTTACAGCGTTGATTGCTTTGATTTAAGTTGTCCGTTGCCTTCCAGTTGCCCTCTTTAATATTCAAAAGCATTTTTGCGCTCTGATTAAAAATCCTTCAGCTTCTCGTGCGCTTTAATTTCAGCTCTTGTGCCAGCGATTTAAGCAGCATTCTAGCTGTTATTGTTGGCGCTTTTGTTGGCTGGTTTTGCTGTTGCTGCACTCGCTGCAACGTGTGGTGCTCCTGGTGGTTTGCTTACTCAGCATGCTGGGGCATGCTCTGACTGCATTTTGAAGTGAGTGATGCGGCAAGTTGCACAGCTGCATGTGGCAAGTCATGGTTTAAGTGTGCTACCGAGCGTGTCCGCTATGGACTGAGCTAAATTTCATAATGATTTTTATAGACGCTCGTAGAAAGCAGAAAAATGCAAAATGTGTGAACGGATATAGAATCGCAAATTCTATACAAACTGAAATCTTAATATTAGAGTCGCATACATTAGTATAACAAATTAAAAAGAATTAATGATGAAGAGTTTTATGTTATGCGGCAAGTTGCTCAGCCGCATGCGCCAAGTCATGGCTTAATGCAATTTGAACTGAGCTAGGTTTCATTCATGCTTTTTTATAGATGCTGCTAGAAAGCAGAAATATGCAAGCTAAAAGAATGGATTCAGATTCAATATATATTCGTCGCAAATTTTATGCAAATTGTAATCTTAGTAATTAAATCGTATTCATAATTATAATACAAATCCTTTAAGTTAAATTTTAAAGCAACGCAAAAGTAAGCTTAGTTGGTTGATAATTTTTACTATCTGAAGGTCTTCTAAATATCCGCGTGGCCTACGATTTAACTTAGACTCTAGACTTGAAGGTCCTTGCTCTTAGTTCGAAGCTGTAACCTCATGTGAATTATAAGCAACGAGTTTTTAGTTTTTCTTTGTTCGGACCCACTAGGGTTAGCTAAGTTTGGACTTAAGTTTGGTCCTATTCAGTTTCTTGGCTATTGTCTGACTATTATAAGGCAGAAGCTATAGCTTGTTGGTTGCATTTGCCACCAATAGCAGGTCCATCGTTTTGTCTATCGGAGTCTTCAGTGTTGTCAGGAATTTATGCAAGTCGCCTCTATTTAAGTGTTCCGAGGTCATTCACATAATCATAGGGGCAGATGATCATGAACTCGCCTGCTTTTATGAGGTCACAAATGTCAGCTCCAATGCAATATGCAATTCGGCAGCCAAAGCTATTGCAATGTAAGTTATATATTTACAAAATATCAATAAAAAAAAAAAAACAAATATATATTTAAATTTAACAATAAATCAAATACAAATGTTCAATGACAAATTTACAAATTTGTATAGTTTATTTTTTAAATGAAAAATTATATTTGGTGTAATTAATTTACCATAACATCAAACACATCGAATGCGGTTAGAGTGCAACAAATTGCTAGAAAGTATCGGGTCAATAGCCATTGCCATGGACCATGTAATTAATCCATTTACCAATTAAATATGTAAATTAAATAATGTACATTTGGCTTTTAAGTAGAAACGCTCGTTAATTAGCGTGGATTTTTGGGCACAATAATACTTTAATGGAACCGATCAACAAGCCACAACTTGGATAGCTTTGAGTATGCAGGAATGCCAGCAGATGGGCGCGCTGTTGGCCTACTTAAAGCTAAAAATGCTACTTTCTAACTCTTGTGCCGCTTCGCATAATTTGTAATTAAATTTCACTAAAAAATGCTACCAAAATTCATAATCCGTTAGCAAAGATACACACACACAGACACACACACACACACACACACACACACACACCCATACTTCACAACAGCAGCGACCGTC